TTCCTGCTCTTAATGTATACTTTGAAAGTCCCAGCCACAACCTGCCTTCCCTTAAATGAAGCTTGACTTCAGTGAAGGCAGAGTTTTTAAATGTTCTTTTAAAAATCCTTTAAAAAAAGATGTGAGATAGTGAGATGCAGTTTAATGTTTCAGCTTAGCTGAGGTTTTCATTACTACCTTCTTTCATTTTTATCATTTTCTGTCTCTTTTTCCTCTCGCACATTCCTTTAGGACTTGGCCTCACCTGAGAGAAGAGGAATTTAAATGAAAGTAGAACAAAAAATCAATTAATCCATTCTTTGTGACAGAAGCCACCAGATGATGCTGTTACTCTTACAGCTTCTTAGCATGTGAGCAAGATTTCAGTTTTTGAAGGAATGCTGCATTGTTATTAGTTTAGTTTTACAGTAATCCTCTGAGAGAAGCTAGTAGCAGAATGTGTTTTCTACTTTATTCTCTATATTAGGATGCAGTTCTTGGGACAAATTACTTTCCTTGGAGCTAAATTTCAGTGCCTCGCTGAGGTTTCTGGAAATAGCAGGAACATTTGTGATAACTACAGCTACTACTGCCACGAGGCGAAAAAAAAAGAAAAAAAGGCAAAACAAGTTTCACTTCGCGGACAGTCCGCATAACTTTCTGTTCCATCAACAGAGAGACATACCAAACCTCCAAGTTATGTCACTGTACAGGAAGAAGTGACAGTTGGCTCAGAAGGAGGACTCTGAAGAAGCAAAGGAAACACTACGTCTTTGGATATGCTGGGCCATATAAGGAAAGCTATAAGAAGGGCAGGCACTGTTTGGATCACAGACCATCCCTTTGACCTGTATCTTTCCATGTTTAATAGAGTACTGGTCCCAGAGAGCTTCAAATAATAGATCAGAAGTGTGAAACATCCTATTTATCTTAATGGGCCACAAGTGCTGAAGCCTAGGGATGAAATATTTAATATCAGATTTGTCAAATATTTCACTGCTGATGGGATCATTTTAGCAGAAATGACCAATGACAGTGCTTATCCATCAAATTGAAGTTTTAATATAAAAAATAAATAACTCAGGAGACAGGGCATTCAGTGGAGGATTCATTTATGCATTTTAATTAAAAATCGGGATTGTTTAAATGCAAATGAAGCAAACACAGAAATGCCAGCGCACTGCATCGGCATGCTTAGCATCACAGCGGCAGCAGAGGTTTGGTTCCGTCAGCTGTGGTGATGACAGGATGCTGAGTGAAGGATACGAGGAAGTTTTACTGTATCTGCAGAAGATACTGCCATCGGCTGTGCCTTCCTTGCTTCTACCAGAGGAAACAACCCCCACAGCTGTCATCTGGCGAAAATGAGAGCTTTTGCCTCAGCCAAGCTCTTAATGGGCAGTAATCTGTTAAACTAGAAAGTTTCACTGAGGGGTGCGTGCCAGATCTGAACTAGGCAAGATTAAATTATTCTGCTTATGCTAGGAGGAGAGAGTGAAGTGGGATACGTGTACCCGAGATTATCTTTGCCCTTGAGTTTCTAAGCTTGGCTGCCATTTTATATAAAAGAAGTTCTGTTTACTTTTTATGGATTTTATAAGAAAGAATAAGCAAGCACGTACAAAAATCAAGCAAGCACGTTACAGAGCTAATGCACCCAGGCTTTGCTAAGCCAATTAAGCAATCCAATCAAGGTCACAGCTGAGAGGGACTCAATAGATCAATGAGATTGAATGGCCAAAATTAATACAAGGGGAAATTAAATCAAAACAAGGAGATTGAGACTGAATTTGTTTTGTTAGTCTTTGGCTGGGGATTTTTAAGGGGAAGCAGGTTTCTTTTCAGTCTAAAGTCACAGCCAGTATTCAGCTCCAAGTTTATGCGCCTGGACAGCAGAAGATACAAGTATTTAAAGGATGTTTGTGTCCATCCGGTACAAGGTCTGTGCTGGTCCTTCCCAAGTGAGGCTGTCTATAGTAAAAGGTGATCCTGGCTGTTTCATTTAAGGAAGTACAGCAACTATAGTGCTCTCAACAGCTTTCCTTCATTATTTTCTCCCTTAAATCTCACTGTTGTAGCAAGTTATTAGCTTGCTGTTCTGATTCTCCCCTTCTAGCCCAGAGAGAATCTTTCCATGGAAGTGACACAGATGACAGGCAAATCAAGCAGTAACAGCTTCGGGAAAAAAATAATAAATCCAGAAGAATCTACCTAATTATACGGAAGATTTGCCGAGTTTGGTGTTTACTTTTAGGGACCTGTATGTAGTGCTGTTTCTCCATTATAGAGTGCAAATATGCAAGTGTGTGTTTGAGATAAGGCAGTATCGTCCTGGTATAATGGAAAGAAAATGAAATGAAAGAGTTCAAAATGTTTTATTTCTTGAGATCCTTCGCTTGTGGTGGTGTCAGCAGCTGTAACAAAGTTTCAGGTTGAATGCAACTTGCAATTATGTTGAAGATCTCAGTGGTAGTAGCACAGCCAGTAACAAGCCTCTTACCAATTTTTTCCCTAAATTGTGCAGTCACAAGAGGGAAAAGCTTTATGTCCAGAAGCTGTCTGTGCTGGCTGGAAATAAATGCTCTTCTTCCTTTCGTGGTCTTCACTTCTTTAAGAGTCCTGCTTATGGTGATTGAAGAACACATCTTGCTGCAGCTGATGTTGTCTACTAGAGGAGTCTTGGGCCATATGGCCACCAGGATGAGTGCTCACTATCATGCAACATCTGCTAGGCTAACCGCGGGCATATATTTGTCCAAAACTGAGATATGGGAGGGCAGGCTGTGAAAATTTATGTTTACTTTCTGGCTTAGTAAAAAAGAAATCAAGACACTACAGTAAAACACTTTAAAAATAAAATTATTTCTTCATGAGTACTTTTATGGCAGTTACTTCTTTACCCTATGTTAGGGAGCTAATGTAGATAAATTCATATCCTACCTTAAAGAAACACTCTGCTTTTATTATTCCATTAGGCTAAATTTCACTCATAATTACAGTTTTTCTAGGTCCAATTCAAACTGATAGTGAGAAACAGATTTTCTCTCTCTTAAACATAGGCTAGAGGACCTTGAATACAGAGAACTGGACTGCAAGGGAATAAAAGTGGGGACTGCCACCCTGCTTCAGCTGGAAGGAAGCTCTGAGTGGGGGCATGTGGAGCATCTCCTCCCCTCATTGCCTGCAGGGAATGGGTTCTCGATGTGTCAGGTCACATCAACCACCAAGCCCCATACGTAGCCACATCCAGGGACACTGGCAGGGTTATGATGGTAGGGCACAGATGAGAGTCTAGGTTTCATATAGAGGAGGGGAGAGGGAACAAAAAGGAGCTGTCTTGTTTGTTTGTTTGCACATCCCACAGGGATTTGCAAGCCTCGAAGCCTGCTTTGCTGACCGTTTCTGTTTCAGCTCCACGCAGAGCATGCCAGTGGCTGCTGAGCAACTTGTGTGAGTGACTACTACTCAGCATGAGCAACGGGTTGCAGAGCCAGGCCTTCTGTTTGGGCAAAACCCAACAACACTGCTGAATTAAAGACGTAATTGGGGTTTTGGCAAAATTGCAACACAGCTGCCCAAGGTCATCTCCAGTGAAAGTAGCTGAGGAGGTTTACACAGAAGATGTTAATTGGATTTTCGTTTTCTCTTTAGAAAGGTTCAGAGCTATCAGATCTCACCACACTACATGCTGCATGAATATGTCCAATGATATTGTGAGCTGATTATTGTTCGTTCTTAACGGCTTTCCATCTCCGTAACAACGGTATTAGCATTAATATTGTGCCCAGGGCTCTAAATATGGATACTAATGGAACTCAATCAGCTCTTAAAGAACAAAGGATCCCTTTTATATGGCACCCAGTGACAGTTAGAGGATTGGATTAGCAACTTGTCAATCCTTCGTTTTGCAGCTTTTTTTTTTTTCTGATGCCTTCTTGAATGCTTGGATACTATGTAAAATTACATTATCTGAAAAATTAGTACAAAACATTAAGTGAAAGCTATGTGCTACTCCCTCCTGGCCTGATTATTCTAGATTATTTAACTAAGTAGCTAGGATACCCCTAATTTAAGTGCTGAATTTCCACAACACAAAATGCTATCTTTTCTCATAAAGGAAGCCCAGAAAAGAGCAAGCTCGATTGCCAATTATGCTTCTTCCATGAAATCTCTTCTATCCCCTTCAGGATAGGCTTGGGTGAAAATATAATTGCAGTGGATAAGGAAGCTTAAGAAAAGATACAAATGAAAAATGTTACGTGTTGGCATCTGATTGATCCATTTGAAAAGGAATAGAAGGAGAATTTGATGAGATGGTAAGGAGCTGATAGTTTGTTTCGAAGGAACCCGGCATTTTTAACCTGTGCAGGGTGCTGAGCTATAATTAAGAACGGCAAGTCTGTGAAAAATCTATTTAAACTCCTGACAGCTTCTCCAGATTTGCATTTTTGACATCTGCATTCACTCTGGCAAATCACTAATGTGATTTTTTTCAAAATTATATTTTTATTGGCTTTCTGCATATAATAACAAAGTAACAATGATGTTACAGCCTGGACAGGGCTTTAACTCAAAAGCTCAGTACTTACAATGTGCTTAATTAGCTGCCTGATTATTGTTTTATGCTGAAAGAAGTTTTGTAAATGTGTTTTCATCTATAAAGCATCTTTAAAGTGAAGCAACTGTTTGATTCCATTAGTTTGTGAAAACTATAGCAAACCCTGGATAACAAAGCAGTATGATTAATTGATATCAAGATACTCATCTCTCTATTTTTTTTCTCTGAGATGGTTGAAGAACTGAATAACAAAACAAATATTTGGGTGAACTTTGAGTTATATAAGTCTTTCCTATTAGTAATTATTCTGCAAGGGAAGGAAAAGGCTTAAACCTAGTAGCATGAATATAGGGTAATATTTTAAAACATATCAGCAATCTTCCTCAGACTGTGAAGAACTTGAAATGACATTTAAGTCAGATGCACTATGAATGTGTTGGTTTTAATTTGATAGCAAAGAAATACCATCATTAATTAGAATGCTTTCAGATTAGTGTTTGTCTTGCATAATTCAACATTTGCCAAAGTTCAGGAAAGATATGCACTAAGTAGAAATTATTACTTTGATAATGCTACTACATTTCCTCTCCTTATTTTTACTATGGCTTTTTAATTTGGGTAATGAGTATATATCACTAATCATTGCGAAAGCCTATTACCAACACCAACCAATCCATCAAGTTGAGTTAATAATTTACTTTATTATAAAAATTGTAACTGGACACAGCTGTAGAGGACTGAAGGAAACTAAAAAAAATGCCTCTTTAGCAGATAACCTATTTTCCTCTATGTACCAAATGCCCCTTGTGCTGCAGGGACTTGTTTCCCCACTGCTGGAATTCCAGTGGTTACTATTAAGCTCCTGCTCAAGACTCATTCCACTGCAGGGCAAATGGAAATTAAATGCTCAAGGAATTAGGAGAAGATGGTCTTCTCTCCTACTTAATTTTCCTGCGTATTATTAGTAGCAGCCTCTGCACTACTAATGCCCTTCTCCCACTGTGTAGGCATGAGTTGGCAAGGTCATTTATTTTTGAACGTGTTTACTGGAAAAATGCAGTTGCATCTGAACGATTGTTTTGGGAAAAATAAAAATCTTTGGATGAGTCAGAAGTGAAGAAAAAAAGGTCATTTGAGAAGATTCCAGTAGGAGAAGAAATTGATAAAGAATATGGAAATGTATTCTAATTAGAATGAGAAGTTTGAAGACTGCACCCTGTAGTGAAATTAGTGTCTGCAGCAGACAGTGCTCCTCATTAGCAAATGGGGACCTCAGTTTTATTACACTTAAACCAAGATTCTTCACTGTGTCCTACCACTTAAAAATATGCATCACTGACCACAGTGCTTGCGCCTGGGGTTATTCTTAACCCTTTGTGCTCACGAATAGAAAGAAACTTTGAAAGAAGCACGAGTTGGATGAGAGATGCTACCGAGATACAGGGTGTATTATGCTGAGATTGAATCTTCCTTTGAATGGTGAAAGGATAATAAGGACCCTGCCTACTGAATCATGTTAAACTGCAGCATTTATTTATTTTTAGGACAGTTTTATCTGGTGACAATACCGTCATTATAGGCCTTTGTTGTTAAGGTGTGTGTATATTTCTGTTGTAAAACCTGAGCACCAGAAATGCATAAACAGCAAAGCTTTTAAAATCAAACCCCTCCAAACAATCACAACTCCAGTCCCTCCCCCCAAGTTTTAATATTTTCTCATTATTATGTGTCATATGGGAAGGAGAAGAAAAACAAAAAGTGAAATGGGCAAACGTTCAAAAAAGTATAAATTTTTTTAAGTCTTTTATTTTTTAATAAGATCTTGCTTTGCCATTAGTCTTTGTCTGCAGCTAAGATGTCATTGGTCTTTGTGAGAATTGTGGTCCCGTTGGCCCCGATGGCCTCTGCGCCCCGCACTTCACTTCTGCTCTCCTCCTGCTCCCGATTTCCACACGGCTCAGCCTCCATAGGGCAAGATGCCCCTGGAAAATGGAGAATTGCTCACGGAAAAGAACAAAGATTTTTTTTTTAAAACCTCAACAGCCCAGGTGAGTACAAAACCAAACGAAGACAAAAACCAAAGTGTTCCCAATCAAGAAAATGGAAAATTCTACCAAAAAATCAGTTATTTGTACACAGTTTTTTTTTTAAGAATAAAAAAGAAACGAATTTCCATTTTCCAATGGAAGAGTATTTCCCTGAAATGCTTTGAGCAGCAAGAAGGCTTGGGCAGAAGGCTCTGCAGCCCGGCGTGGGGCAGCCCTCGTGGACGCTGCGCGACTCTCCTGCGCTTGGAGCCTTCGTTTCCCCAGAGCGCCCGATTCAATTTACCTGCGGCCCACGGCCAGCACGATGTGTCGCTAGAAGAGATAGAGCTTGACTTTTGTATAAAGAGAAGATTACTTCTTTAGTCTTGGGAAAGAAAAGGGAGAAAAGGAGGTGCAGACAGAAGTAATAAACAACTGCAAGCTCTGGACGTATTTGAAATGTTTCTGCCGTTCATCGTTTCTCTTGGCTACAAGTAACTATCTGTGTGTTAAATAGCTGATGGGGCTTTCGTACCATTAGGACCACGTCCCAGCACAGAGCCAGCACCGCAGGCAGGAGGGCGACGAGCGGGAAGCGCAGCAGATGCAAGCAGACGCGTGTCTGCAGTGCCCTTCGCTAGCGCGCTGCTTCGCGGGCCGCGCTCCCCTCTCCCATGTGCCTGTGCTGCCAGCGTAGACGCAGCGGCTTCAGCGAAGCCCTCCTGCGTAAGTGCGCTTCAGACCCTCCAGACAGAATGGAAAGGCTCTTCGTGCCGTGGCAGAGCCTGACTTCACCTCCCCCCGCAACACACATACCGCCTCCTAGCCGAGCGTACTTGCCATGCAGCACCAGTAAGCTATGAGGGTAAATGTGTTGAACGAACGGTTAGTTATTTTTTTCTTAGCTGTTTTGATGAGGGAGCTGCAAGGAGTCCTGTTGCTGAAGTGCCTTGGGATCCTCTGCTTGAAGATGCCACCTAAGCAGCATCGTCCCTCATAGGCGTGCTGGGGGCAGGGGTAAGTGCGCATGTGCCTGTGCGGTGGAGACGGGTGGGGGAGCTGGTGGAGAGCTGCAGCTGATTACAGTCAAAAATCATAACTTCAGACAACTCTAATGTTTGCAGCTGGAAAGACTTAAAAGCTATTTGCCTCTAATCTCCCTCCGACAATCAATGAATTGAACAGTAAATGTTATTAGACTAATTTACTGTTCATCAAGAGTAAGAAATGAATAGAATAATTTACTATTCATACATCCAACTGTGTGACATGTGTACCGATCAGTTTGAAAGAAAAAGCTACAGTAGGGTTCCAATTCTCCCCCCACACCTTTTCTAATTATAATTTATCTCCATTCTCATCTGTAAAGCTGCTCTGGATTTACCCCAGTAGCAGAATGACCACATCTGTTTTGGTACACATCTGCTTTGGTACATAGAATAATTTGCTATCTCGCCATCTCCATAATTTCCACTGGGGCAGGCAGTCACGAACTGTACGGCTGTAAAGGAGGCCCCTGGTAATTCTCACTATTCTCTGTGGGAAGCATTTACCTCCGGTTTATGGGCAGCTCCCATAAGGATGCTGCAGGTAATTGTGCTACATCTTGAGCATCTCATCTTTCTGCAGAGGCTACCCTAGTTATTTAGGAGTTTGGAGCATTCAGGGAAGAAACTGGATCAGTTGTTTTCTCCAAGCTAAAACTGGGATAATGTTAAACGTTTAGAAATGCTCAACACCAGCATTTCTTCGAGAAGCCAGCTATATTCTGGGGGGGGGGGGGACCGGCCTGTATCATCTGCACAGAAAACTGTTAGTGCTCAATTTGATGGTCTCTGAATTTATATTTTAGGTATCAAAGAGAGAATATGAGAGCATACCAATCACCTCGTGGCCACTGCAGATTTGAACACAAGAAAAACACCGGGGAAAACTGGTCCAAAAGGACTAGAATTGAGGCCGTCAGCAGGATTCGTATTACCTGCTTGAGTGGACGCCAGTCTTTCTGCTGGTGGTTACCGGGGTCAAAACTCGAGGCTTCCTGGCTCTTACAAGAGGTATGGCATCTTGCTTCCCAACCTAGCACAGGACTGCTGTCCTCCTTATTAATTCTACTTTGGCTTAGTTCCCCTTCTTTGCAAGTTGCACTAAAAAGAAGCGTTTTTTTAGTACAGAGGAAATAGCTTTTAAGTGCACACAGACAACTTCTCACTTCAACAGTATAGTCTTTCCAGCACCTCAAGAGATCCCACAGTTTTTGTTTTGATAAACAAGATGCCATCTACCATCTGCCACCTCCCATTGCCTCTGTCAGGAAGTACGATTTTGAGAATTCTTCCAACTGGAAGAGTCTTAACTGTCTCTGCACTTCAACAGTATCCTTTTTCGTAGTCTTTGAAAATCTGTCCTCAGGTTCTCAAATTCAGTATTGGAAAGCAAATCTGGAAAAAAAAAAAAAAAGGAAAAAGCTCTGACCTTGAAGAATTAGGATTAAATTTGCTTTTCAAAAAATAAACTGCAAAGAATACCAGCAACAAAGCGGAAATTACGTTTTTATCTTCCCTCCTTGTTCTGAGCAATGTGCATTTCCCCAGGACCTGACAATCAGGCTTATTTTTATCCTTCTCACACACTAGCTTCAGTAAGAGAGATCCCACCAGCCAAGCACCACCGCAAGTCTCCCAAACAACTCTTTTCCCAGCATGTCTCCTTTCATCCATTTGAAATTTAAGAAGCACTCAAGAAAGTATTGCTCCTCAAGAAGAAAGCTTTCCTCCCAAGTTCTCGCCTGTGTAGAAAAGCCCCTAAGCCAGTGTTGCTCCAACAGAGTTTGGCCTTTTGTGCAATCAGTCAAAGGGATAGCGCGGTTTCCAAGCCGTGCTGGAACATGCCACAGAGAGCTCCGGTTCAACCAGGACACATCCTGCAGTACTGTTCACACTGACCCCCATGTGGACAAGTTGCTGACTCTGAGCCAAGTGAGATTACTTTTAGTATAGTTTTAGCAAGAAATTCTGCTGAAGCCAGTCTACAATCATGTAAATAGTTGCTGTAGGAACACAGGGACTGTGATCTGCTTGTGCTGGATTTGAGGGTGAGACAACTGATAAATGATGCTCGTGTCTGTGTGGAAGAGCAGTCATTGCCAGGAGGGACATAGGGCTTGGGTGCAGCTCCTCTCCTGGAAGGTAGAAATGTTGGACCGCCCAGGGCAGAGCTGATGGCTGGCTGTAGCTGCAGCCAGCTCTGATTTCTGTGCTAGGCAATGTTTAAAAAACAGAATCAACACATCAAATGATGTGTCATGCAAGTTTTCCGTGTCAAGGAAAATAGCCTAAGGCCCTTCTTCCCACGTTTGCTGCTCTGACAGCTAGACAACCTGGTCCAAAAATTTATTCTGGTCTTTAATCAGGCAAAATTGCTGTGATCTCTGAGGCTGGGCTTCACAGTTTTTGAAAGAGATTACATGATTTAGTAGAAAGAAGGTACTTGCCCACTGTCTTTGTGGTCTGTGGTCACTGTGAGAATCTTGCATGCTTGTGCACTACCTGCTGAATAACTGGAAGTGTTCTTGTTTGCCCCTGTCATCTCTGTGCAATAACCATACAGCGTAACAGCTTCAGAGCTATGTTTCCTTCTGTATACCCATAAGCAGATGCTGTTGAGCACCCAGATGACCCCCAAGTGCTGCATTTATTCTGTGCTGGTTTTGGTTTGTTTGTTTTTTCCCCCATACTCTTTGTGCTAAGGATTACCTTGCTGCGTTACTATGTTGCCCCCAGGACAAAGCTGGTCCTCCGCAGACCAGGCACAGCGATGTGCAGGGTGCCACGTCACTCCTAGTCTTGACTTTTGTTCACCAAGTTAGGGCCCAGATACACCTGCCAAGAGGCCAAAGTGAGATTTCTCCTCCATGCCCATATCATCTTTCCCCTTCCACTTCACATGGCCATTTGGATGATGTCTTTTTACTTAGGATATTGTGAGAAGTCAACTGTGCCTTCAGTTGTTCAGACAGCAATGTGAACGTACGTTCAGCTGACACAGACTCTGGTTTCTCCCAGGTAAGTTGGATTAGGAACATCGCAGTGCTAATGAAAGTCCCCATATTTCAGGTTTTCAGGACTCTGAGTCATTCAGGTCTCTTAAATGAGTACCCTTTTCAGGATAGAGAAGACATAACATCTAGATACGAGTTAAAGTTCAAAAAGGAAAACACAAACCAAACCCTAAAAGGACAGGTTTTTAGGCCAATGTGCAATTTCTCTGGCAGGCAATATGGTTTTCTTGTATATATAATAAACCCCAGTAATCAGAATTGCTCTGAGCTGCCACAACCCACACTCTCCCGTGGTGCAACTCTGGTCTCTCTCACTGATGTATGCTATTTCTGAGCTAAAGCATAAGGTTTATCATCCCTGCTGTTCTACCCTGCAAGCAGGAGTAAAAAAGGTTGACTACTGTGTTCAGGCAGCGTCAAATTACTGTAAAACAAGTGAGAGACTGCAGCAATATATGGTGAATCTCAGTTCTTCAGTTTTCTTTCAGATTTTTATTACAAATGGGTTCCAAACTGTTGCATTCTTGACAAGAGCAAGAGCCATCAACTCACGTCACATCCCTTCCAAATTAATATCTGTGTATTGGATATACAGATATGGATTTGCAGATGAAACCCTTTTGCATCCTGGACATGCTGAGGAGCACCTGGAGTGCTTAGTCTGAGCTATGTAATGAGTTCAGTGTCTTAAACCAACTTCCAGGCTGTCTTAGGATACGATATAGTAAAAAGATGCTAGAAAGTATGCAAAACTATGTAGGGGGTAATAGCGTTACACAGAGCTCTGGGCTAGACATATAAAAGGAATTAGGCCCCTCTTAACCTCCCATGTTGTCCCCAAGCCTGACAGGGACTTCCTCAGGACCTTACTCGGCGCCACCTGAACCTGAACACGTGAAGTCACTACTTGAAGGGTCTGTGATCCCTTTGCTGCCCCGCTGCTTGTTCCTGGGCACGTCCCAGGCTGCCCAAACCTTGGCAGCTCAGTGCTGCTCAGTCCGGCTCGGGGCATCGCCCCCAGCTGGGCACCGCTCTGCCTGCTGCTCCTGCCACGCTCTCCACCGGGACCGGAGCTGCCTGCATCTGCTCTAACCCAAACTGCTCGTTCAGGACAAGACCAATATCAATCCTTCCTGTGTCGGAGAGGACACAAAGCTCTATCTTCTCAGGCTGGAGGGAAGCCACTCAATATATCTGCATCTATAGACTGGCAGCTTTCCTTTCATCCATCTATTGAAATGTGTGTGCATGGCTGCCTCTGAGTCCATGGCTATAGCATTTAGCACAGTATCTCTAACAAGTTGTACAGCTGCATGACAGGTTTTTGTCTGCTCTTAATTGCTTCCACTGAAATTCGGGCAGGGCCTAGTCAGCCATGTCTGGCCTCAGTGGAACCCTTTGGGTTAGACTCGAAGCCAGACTGATGTAAGTCTGCAACAATACCCCGAATCTGATGGAGCTGTTTGATATTTATATCACCATGGCTTAGGATTTGCCCCAGCATCTCTGCAATGATGAAACAGTTTAATTCTATGTATTTCCCTTTGGATGAAATAGTAGGGAACTGACCTATACCATCAGCAAAGTTGTAAAGCAGGTTTTCCCCTGGTAAAACAATACAGTGCTCATTTCTCTGCAGTATTTTGGCCAGAAGCAGGACTGCAGAAATCCCACATCAAAGCCTGAGCTTTCTTGAGCCTCGGACAATCAGGGAAGATTGAGTAAACTTTTGGAGTCTGCTGTTAGCCTTGGGGGAGGCTTTGGAAGGAGGCTACGGCCTCAGGCGCTCTTGCCTGCCACCTGCAAGCTGCACGCCTCGCACGGCTGCCAAACGCAGGCTGACGGAAGGGCAGCAGCGGGGAGAGGGCCCTCGCCGCTCCCACGGCCCACCGTCCGGCTGGCCTTTCCAGTGACAGTGCAATAAGGAGCAATGCAAGGACCATGCAAAGGTAAATCAGGGAGTGGCAGGAGATAGGATGCTGAAAGCTGCGTCAGTACGTTGGGATGAGAGTAAATTAAAGAGCAGGAGCGTGGGATCATGGCAGCAGGCGAGCTGCCGGAGTTGAAAGGCGACGGGTCCTGACCTCATCCTGCGTCCTGGTACTGCTGCAGCCGGTCAGACCAGCCCTGCTGCCTGCACCGCAGAGATACCACCCCGCCGCAAAATGCCGTGAGGCCTAAGACGGGGGAGATTGCTGTTAACCTCGCGGGTATTGTCAAATCTGACCTGCACACATCGTAAGGTCTGCCACTAACTGGCTAGAGGAAGCGGTGTGAGCTCAGCCCTGCAGTCTGCCTGGGAGGAGGAGGAGGAGAAGGGAGGAGGCGGAGGAGGCTTCACCTGGCAGGGACCTTATGGCAAATTGCAAAAGCTCTTACAATAGTGAGAAACAAGCTAATTTCTTAGTAATTATTTGCCAAACAACATGTAATCAAATAGTGCAGAACTGTCTACGATGCATCTTTGGGTCTTTAGGCCTTTTGTTTTGTTTTGTTTGTTTGTGGCACACTCTTCCAGCGCTTCAAGGCTACTGCATACTGCAAAACAGTGAAGGAACAGAGTGATAATAGAACAATTAACAAGTGATGTCATAAAACAATGTACTTAAAATAAAATGCTTAATTAAAATAACTGAACCACGAAAAAGATGTAACAGCATACAGAAAAAGCACACACACAAAAAAACCATTGAGAATAAGTCTCATGTAGGCACTGAAATATGTAATTTAAAGGAAAAAAAAAAGCACCAGAATGGTTAAATAAAGATGTGGAATAAACCAGCAAGCAATACACTAATTTGCCAAAAAATACAATAAAAACTGTATTTGCAGAAAAATACAGTTTTCTGCATTTTTGCAGAAAAACTACTCTCTCTGGTTAACAAGTCTGGACCATAAAAGAGTCCTTTGGCGGCTCCCCGTGTCATTACTTGCCAGGAAGACACTGCACTGATGGGCTCACGGGGATCCGGGGATCCACAGTTAGATCAGCAAGCAGGGAAGCGGAGGTCCCACCGAGTTTCCTGCCTGGAGAGCTGTTAGGATCCATGCTTGTTCTTTAAAGAGCAGAACTGTGTACTGCACTCAGAATGACCCCATTAGGAACATAATCTTCTGCTAGAAATTAGATGCTTGAGGGGAAAAAAGCCTCACAGGAAAGCTGTAAAAAAGCAGACCTGTTTGCAGTTCATCCTAAAAAAAACGCAATTTTTTAGGAGCTTTGCATGCTGGCTGAATCCTGGCTCCTGGGGAGCCTGGAGAAGTGACTGAACGGTGGCCTTCTCCTCAAGGTCTTGATATGAAGCAGAAAAAAAAGACAGTCATTGGGCTGCTCAGTCTGCTTTCAACCCAGCTGGCTGCAGCTGTGAGGGTATGTCCAGCACCTAGTGAGAGGTTGTCATGAGGTACACATACCTGTGCTGATGTTCAGTCACAGCTTGTGGAGTCCTTTACTCCAGATTCTCTGCTTTCTTCCAGCACTTTTTTAGACTGAAAACACTAAATAGACTTGAAAGTGTGAGGCAGACGTGCTTTCCAAGAATAATCGCTCTTTGGCTGATGCACAGGAGCGCTGCTCATGCATTTCTGGGAGATGCTTACAGACTGCTAACTGCTCTGGAAGCCTTTCAGCCTTTGCTGCCTGCAAATGGCGTTATTATTCACTAATAGCCTCAGCTCCCCATGTTGTCTTTTGGTTAGTTAGCAGCTATTCTGCAAGTCGGAGACAGGGAACGAGGAACATATGTTTAAACAGTAGCCAACTTCTGACCTGTTAAAAAACCTGGAGGGTTTTCTCAGAGCAATCCCCACCATTAGGCTAGGAAGTGACTAGGAGGGAATGTGTCAGCACTGGGTGGAGGTGTGCATGCCAGCCTCCCACGAAGCAGACGCTGTTTCTAAGAGTGGCTTCTGGAGAGGAGGATCTGGAGGATGATGTTATTGCTGTTTCACTACCCTAATATGGCTGCTGACATGAGGTCATTGGGAAGAGGAGCGGAGGATTTCGTGGAGTAAAAGAAGGGGCATTGAGCTGGAGATACACTGGCGCTTGGTCCTGAAAACCCATTGCTCCACATTTCCAGATTCAAGTGGGTACCTTTTCCAGAGCACCTAATGACAAAAATATGCATATCTCATTAGAAGTCAGGAGGACTTAAAGCAAAAACCTTTGCTGCTTTGTTGTTCTTTTCTAAAGGTTAGGGTTTGGTTTGGTTTGGTTTCTTTAAGGTTACTTGTTCACCTGCTCATTTCTTTTTGGATATTGTAGGATTCTGTTATTTACTGCTCAAGCAATTCCAAAAACTGCTCTACTGACATTTCACGGTATTTAGTATTGACCAAACACTACATGATAAATCTTTATAATACTCCAGAGAGACCGTCAAGGGAGCAGTTACAAATATATACATTGCAGCATGTTGTGTTCTGGGTTAAATGAAATATAAAATAGCATCACCAGCCTGGGTACTAATGGGGCTATCAGTATTCCATCACACTTCAGCTGCAGGTATGGTGGTTGTCATTAAGACATCAACATT